GAATTAGCTGTGCATACTGGTGCATGCCTGTAATCTCAGCACTCACAAGGCTGGAGCAGGAGGATCACCACAAGTTTGAGACCAACCTGGACTACATAGTGAGTTTGAGGCCAGCCTAGAGTACATGGTGAGACCCTGTCTCAAAGAATCAAAAAAGAAACAGAGAGAGAGAAAGAGGAAAAAAAGATAAAAAGGAATCAGTCGTATACAAGTCTGTTTTCTCAGGGTCTGTGTCACACTCTGATCCTTTTCTCCTTCTTTGCTAGTGCCTGTCTCCACGACGCAAAATGTTTTCTTTTCTCTCTTCTCCAAAAGCTTTTCCTTCTCTTTTCTCCTTCCTGAAAATGTGCTTCATTCATCCTTTAATGGTGTGTGTGTGTGTGTGTGTGTGTGCGTGTGCGTGTGTGTGTGTGTGTGTGTGTGTGTGTGTGTGTGTGTGTGTTTTGCTGGGGTTTGAACCCAGGGCCTTAGTACTGAGCTGCATCCCGGGCCTGTTTTATTTTATTATTTTGAGACTGAGTCCCAATAAATTGCCCTGGCAGGACTTGAACTATCAACTCTCTCACCTCGGCCACTGGGATGGCAGGTCACCACTGTGCTGACTACCAGGCAGCATTTATTTCTCAAATCAGTGTAGGTCACTTGTTGGTCATGAAATCAAATCCACTTTCTCATAAAAAGCAAGTCACTAAACTTGCATCTTTAATCAATTTTATTTTATTGTATCCCATTTCCCCCCTCAAGCCCCCTCCCCTTCCTAAGTCCAAAAGCTACTGGTTGCTGCTCTAAAATTCATGGTGGGTGGAAGGGAAGGCGTCTGCGGGGAGACCTGGGGTCACCTCATAGTGCAGCCTTCCTGCTGTCAGTCCTGAAGGTTCCCAGCTACACCGTCAGTTTGCTGGAATAGTGAGAGTCCTGCAGTCATTCTGTGTGTCTCCTTCAGGGAGGAATTCACACTCAGTAAAATAGCTTCTGCTGAAATATTTCCATACTTCCTCTACTTTTTAATCTACACAACCCCCCTTCGAATTTCAGGCACTCACAGTGCTCAAAAGCTAAGCGTGCAAGACAAAAGAACATGGGCAAGGAAAGGAAAACTCTCTAAATAGTTCCCATAAAATAGCAACCTTCCCCTTTTCTGGAGGGTTTTGTTTTTGACTGTGCTTTTTCTTTTTCTTTTCCTTTTCCTTTTCCTTTTTTGCAGAGAGAGATATTTCTGTCTCTCTGGCTCTCCCAGTAAGGTCAGAGACATAAAAATACCACACTGTGGCATTGACTTGGCCATTTTCTGAGGAGGAGATTAACTCTGGGGGAATCTGGGCGGTTCCAGTGATTCAGGGCTAAGTGAGGCAGCACGACCAGGACCCTGGTCCCTTCCCATCAGTCTTTGGGAGAGTGGACTTTGTAGCTGGCGTAACCACAAGCAGGAATTGATTAGCTTCATGGATTTCTAGGGAGTGTGATACTGAAGCCCAGCACAGCAGAATGTCCTTGCCGTGTCAATACATTCTATCAGAAAAAAGTATTAGTCTCAGGAAGCAAGGTTTTAAACACATGAAAACCGTCACAGAAAGATCCTCTAAAGAGAAAGGACTAAATCAGGATAGAGTGACCCTTACTTACATTTTCTTTTTTAACTGAGGGGATGCCTATCATGTATAAGGTCCTGGGCTCAATAAATAAAATCTGGGTATGGTGGTGCACCCCAGGAGACTGAGGTAGGAGGATGTCAAATTCATCTCCCACCTGGCCAATCTAGCAACTTACTGAGGCCCTGTCTCAAAATTTAAAATACAAAATGAGAACCAAGAGCTGGAATGTAAAGGTACAAGATCCTAGTAATGAATGTAACTGTACTGTCTACCTAGAATGTACCAATATAAAATCTGGGTATGGTGGTGCACCCCAGGAGACTGAGGTAGGAGGATGTCAAATTCATCTCCCACCTGGCCAATCTAGCAACTTACTGAGGCCCTGTCTCAAAATTTAAAATACAAAATGAGAACCAAGAGCTGGAATGTAAAGGTACAAGATCCTAGTAATGAATGTAACTGTACTGTCTACCTAGAATGTACCAATAAATATAATGTTGTTGTTTTGTAGGGGAAGTTGAGACAAAGTCTCACTGTATAGTTCAGGCTGGCCTTCTGTTCACTCAAACTCACATCGGTCCCCTGCCTCAGCCTCCCAAGTGCTGAGGTTACAGGAGTGCACCACTATGTGTGGCTAGGAAACATTAGTTTTAACAAAATGCTTTTGGATACGAACATATGTAATAAGGACTGATGTTTATTGAACCCTTTGTGTGCACCAGGCCCTGTTCTAGCAGCCAAAGCGTATGTACATTTACGCTGTGAACTCATTCCTTTACTCAGTAAATACTGAACATCTATCCTGTTCCCAATAAAGACTAGATCATTTGAACATAAAAGAAGACATAATCCCTGCCCTCTGACCTTACCTTCTACAGGGAGAGATGGGGGAAAAGTAAAAAGGCAAAATAATTGAAACATTTTAGCCCACTTAATAAAGGGGTCAGTTCCCTCCCTCCAGAGACCTCTTGAGTAAGTTGCAAATGGATCCTTGTGTCGAGAACACTAACCATGGAGACCTGAGGGTGCTGGAGGAAGGTGGTTGGGGGATTTGGGAGAAAATGGGGTTGGGTGGGTCTGCTGTCAGCTGGACGCTGTCAGGAAGTGACAGTGACCCTGCACTGGCTCAGTGAGAGAGGAAAAGCTTGGCATCGAACCTCACAACGGCCTTGCTTCTGCCTGTCTTGGAACAAAGTCATAGAGCGGCCCGGCTTTGTCTCACTTTGTAGAGATTCAGAGCAGCTTTGCCCGAGTTTGACATTCAGCGAGATCATTGAAGTCTGACAGCAAATAACATGGCCTCGTTACAAATGCCAGGACAGCTTCTGGAAATCAGTGGCTGCTCTTTTTTCCCTTTCTCTGTGGAAATCAATAAAGGGCCGTGACAACAAATGGCACAGAAGAAATCCATATTCACAGGGGATGTTCGTTCAGGAACTGCTACTGCCTTTCCCAGAATTTTATCCGAAGGTATCTGGGGAATGGAAGCTGAAGACATAGTGGTCATGGTGACACGGTTGGGCATTTTGTCAGTCCATGTAGAAAGAGGTGAGTGTGTGTGAGTGTGCGTGTGTGTGTGTGTGTGCGTGCATGTGCTGGCATCGAGGGATGTGGTCTGGGTGATTTTTAAGTTCTCACTCATCCAGTCGTTGACCCTGACAACATACACATGCTCAGTGACCTAGCATTTGGCCAAAAAAATAGTTCTAACCATCATCTATTTATAGCTAACAATCTCAGACACTCCAAATAGACACAGGCCAATGCCCGTAGTGAACTTAGATGATGACAGCTATGATATTGGCAGGAGTTAGAATGATGGCTTTGAAAACAGGAATATAATACAATATGTCTTAGTTTTTCAATATGTTCACCCTACCCACATTCGCCACTCTCGTGGCTCTCTATTTTTATTAGTAAAACTATATTAGGAAGATGTTCGTGCACTGCAGATGCTATCTTGGGTGTCATGGCAACCACTTGATCTTCACCAAGCGTTTCTTGGTTGTTGTTTTCGGTACCGGGGATCGAACTTGGGACCTTGCACGTGCGAGCCAGGCGGCAGAACCACTGAGTTACATCCCCGGCCCTTATCAAGCATTTTATGTCAAGATTAGATATTTAGAGATTTTTATACAATGCTTAAAATGCTGGCTATATTTCAGTAATAACTTGAGATGTGGGGTTCTGACTCAGAGACCCACAAAGTATAACTTAAGTGAGAGGAGAATGGGAAATCAAGGATGGGCTATGGGAAAAAGCTTTGTTTCCTTCACCAGAATGGGAGGCAGGCAGAGTAGTCAGTGCCCCCACATAAATATGGAGGCCCCTGGAGAAATAACAGCTCTGAGGATCTGAAGCTCTCTGATTTCCTGGCCCTGCTGCAGAGTGTGTGATGAAGAGCTATGGACTCAGTTTCCCTGTGTGGACAGTGGAGACATTGGTTTGGAGAGCCCAAGGGGCCACACAGCTCTCTACACGTCTGTGGTTGGCACCTCCCCTTCAGGAAGTCCTGCTCTGGAGAGGCCGTGCCTGTGTTTCCTCACAGATAGAGCAGCGTGGTTAAGAGCTCACACTTAGAATCAAACCTGGGTCCAATCCTGGCTCTGCCTACTCATTGCTATGTATTTTTGGGAAAGTTATTCATTTGTGAAATGGATCTTATAATAATAAGCACCTCATAGGGCTATAGGGAGGATCGCTATGAATTTAATATTAGTAACTACCTCATGTGTTATGTCCATGGCATGAGATGATACACATAAACCCTATTTAGCACTGTGCTCGGTCCATCAAAAGCAATCAGTAAATATCAGCAAATATCAAAGACAACCTTAAAAGGCCTTTTTCCCCTTCGAAGTAAATTTAATCCGACACACAACCAGGTAACATTATAGAATTATAAACAAACTTTGTAATAAAATGTTAAAACTTTAAGACACAAGCCAGTTGTGGTGGCTCAAGCCAGTAATCCCAGCACTCAGGAGGCTGAGACAGGAGGATTGCTGTGAGTTCGAGACCAGCCTGGGCTACATAGTGAGTTCCAGGTCAGTCTCAACTGCATAGTGAGACCCTGTCTCAAAAAACCAAAAAAAAAAAAAAAAAAAAAAACACTTTAAGATACAATATATTTGCAGAACAAGAGTGCCTGATGCACATTTCTTCAGGGTTCTTGGCAGAATTTATCTTCTGCTGACTGAGGCTAATTAGTTTGTGCCACTTTACCCCATGACTGGGAAAGTTCAGGTCTATGGTACAGCTTCCTAAGATTTTCTGCACAGTCCCATGTGTTAGCCAATTTTATGATTCTGTAACAAAATGCCTGAGATGGTTAACTTTAAAGAGAGAAGGTTTATTTTGACTCATGGTCACTTGGTCCACAGCCATCAGGCTTGTGGTACATCCTGGCAGGCGCATGTGGTACAGGATCTGTCACCTCTGGGGTGCTAGAACAACAGAAAGAGAGAGAGTGAGAGAGAGAGAGAGAGACAGGAAAAGGTTGACCCCTCAGTATCTAGCATTTCCAGTGGCCTCCACTCACACCCGCCACACAGGCTGAGAAAGTGCTTCACGGCTGAGCCATGTCCCTAGCCCCACAGCACATCTTAACATTGTGATGTACTTTCCCTAAAAGTAGCCTTTCCTTGGTTTTGATTTCTGTCCAAACTCACCTACGAACACAGGTGGAGTTGTACTTGCATGTTTGTCTACAGATGGGTGCTGGTTGTCAACGGCACTGTAGAGTGAACCTATATCAATCTCATCACGACTTCAGATCCCTGTAATTTTTAAGTCTGTTTAAAAATGTATCATGTGCATATTTATCCACCCAGAAAATGTAAGTTCAAACACTGTAGAAGTAAGTATCCTAAGTGACAGTTCTTCCACAATCTCATGCAGAAGTAAAGTCCCTATTAACATAACGTAAGTCCTTTAAATTTGTCCTGTGCCTCTGCTAACTTGATTAGGACCGAGAGGCTTTTAAAACACAGTGGTTTGTTTTCTCTCACAATAAATGCTAAGGTGAGTAAAATTTACATACTGTTTGATTCATATTATCTGAGGTGAAACCATACATAGAGATGACAAAAAGATCAGTGGTTGCCAGGAGTTTGGGGACCGAAGGGAGGGCAGGAAAATTGGCAAAGTATGGATTTTTAGGGCAGCGAAACTATTCTGTGAGATTGTTATGGTGCACATCTGTCATTTTCCATCTGTCCAAACCCATCAAATGTACAATACAGACTGCGCCCTGGGGTGAAGAGCAGACTTCAGTTAAACATTCGTCGACACTGGCTCGTGGCGATCACAAATGCACCACACCAACGCAAGGTGTTGATACTACAGGAACCCATGAGGAGGCCAGAGAGTTTATGGGAGATCTGTATTCTCTGTTCAACTTTGCTGTAAAGCTAAAACCACTCAAGAAAATAAACTCTATTTTTAAAAACTGCTAAGGTGAGAAGACTTAAGACGTTAGGGAAATTCTGTTCCTTACCATCACTCAAGGGTCCAACTTCCTTCCAAGCAATTGCACTGCTATCTAGGGTATCAGCTTTTTCTTCGCAGCTCAAAATGTGTCACCAGGAAGTCCAGGCTCTGGCTGCAGGGAAGGGGGATGAGAAAGTGGAGCAGGTATGCATGTCTGTGGTCCATGGATGGAGACCCACACACTGCCCCAGGGGATATTTTATTTTAAGAATGTGAGGGCCAGGGAGTTAGCTCAGTGGGGCTGCTGTGTCACAAACACAAGGTCCTGAGTTTGGTCCCTGGTACCATAAAAAAAAAAAAAAAGAGAGAATTTGACCATTTGACCTAACCGCAAGGGAGGCTGGGATAGGTCTGCACAGAGGCCCAAGAAAAAGGAACAGATTATGGTGAGTGGCCAGGCACACACACACACACACACACACACACACACATACACACACACTCTCTCTCTCTCTCTCTCTCTCTCTCTCCATATATATATACATGCTAGTATGTGTGTCTGCTCTCGTGTATTCTTATGTATACATATGTGCTCTTATGTATTTGTACTATGTATAAAACTAGACATTGTAAGTATAAAATTATACATTATAATCATTTACAGAAAGAAAATACTATCATGGCAATATGTAAAATATGGGTTTTTTCAAGATTTGCCCTTCATTTTGAACATATTTCCATACCTCAGAGCTACCTAACTTTTTATGACAACTAGAGATGATTTTGTTTGCTGATTTGCTATAACATATTAATCTACTCCTGAATATGAACTTTTGTGTCATTTCACACTTCTGTATTTCTCATCTCCAGTTTGGTCCAGGTCCTTTCATTTTATGCTCTTGCCCAGGATAGAGGTCTGTGCCTATAATCTCCACACTCAGAAGGCTGAGGCAGAAAGATCACAAGTTGGAGACCAGCCTAGGCCATGTAGCAAGTTCAAGATCACCCAGGATTGTGTAGTAAGACCTTGTCTCACCGCCCCCCAAAAAACCCAATAAACATTGCATAGGTTGTGTCTCCTCATTAAAATTCAGTAATATGTAGTTAAATAACTTCAATAATTTTCGTTGGTTTCATTTATGACTTTTAATTAAATGTCTAATAAAGCCATGGTTGTGTGATTTATCATTCGCTCTCTATGTCCCCCACTGGGTCACAGACTAGATGAGAGTGTAATATAGCAACGGCTAGGACTGAACCTATTTTGGTTACCAGTACCTTCCTGGAACCCAGCACTGAACCTGCTGCCTGGGAGAGACTGGGATTAGTTGAAGGTATGAAGAACGAAAGATGAAAAATGCCACAACACTTCTTAAAGTATTTCAGGGATAATTTGCCTGATTTCATCAAATTCATAGAAGGGCCCTACCTCTCGTACATTGCAAAAAAGATGGGTGAAGGTTTTCAACAAAACAGTACAAAGTCAAAGAGAGGAGTTACTTCTTAATTCAATACACCTCTGCAATCATGAGCAGATAAGACTTTTTTACTCATTTTTTAGTTTTTTAAATAGTACATGTTTGTAATACGTGATTATTACTTCATTTTGTGTAGTTGGTACAAGTATACGACACATCTTCACTCTCTTTACGTCCCCTTCCCCTCCTAAGAAATGCTATTTTTGTTTTGAAAATTGAAAAACACAAAAAAAAGCCCCTTTACAGGAAAGATTTAGGTCGACTGGGCTTTGTGAAATTTTCAGTGATCATTCGATCTACAATATAGTTTGAATATGTCTCGTCATGTGCATATTGTATACTACTGTAATTACTCCATTTGTCCCCCAAAAGACAAGACCAAGGGCTGGGCATGTAGATCAGTGGCGTAGCGACTGCCTAGCACGAGCAAGAGTCTAAATTCAATGCATCACACACATGCACACACACACACACACACACACACACCCCAAATGAAAACCCCAGGATGAAATACTAAACGTTGAAAACTGTGTTTTGCAAGTACAATGTAATCCCCAAAAAGGGCACATTTGTAGGTCTTTACTTAAGGATTTCATATTCAGTTTACTCGGGGAACTAGCCTCAAACCGAGAAAATGAACACAATGAGCCCACTGAATAAATTTTTATTTATACCGATGTTTAACTCAATTCTGTCACCACACTGAGCCCTGAAAGTAACAGGGACAATAGACATGGTGGGTTTTGGGTGCTGAGGAGGAGACCCACGGCCTGGAATGTGCCACACACATGCTGTACCCCTGAGATGAACCCGCAGCCCCGATACACACTTTGTATGAATAGGTGAGGCCACATTTCGTGTGCCCGCTAGAGTCATTGGGTAGGGATTCCTCGCAGAGCTTTTGTCCTCAGTTTCCTCCCCTCATCACATCACGCATCCTAAGGCCAGGTCAACAGAGATCGGCAGAACCTCCTGTGTGTCACGGTGACTAAAATTAAAGTCACTGATTACCCTGCACATTCTTGGAGGCCTCCAGAAAGCTGGTCACGGAAACAGCTGGGACTGTGTCAGAGCCACGATGATTCAGCCCGCGGTCTATTATTAGGGTCAGCGTGTGCTAGCTGGGAAGGGAACTGTTAGTTCGCTGGTCCCCTCCGAGGAGGGGGGAGAATGCCGGGAGATATGAGTCGCCTGACACTCTCCCGCTCTCAACTGTACTCGTCACAGTCCAAATGTGGGGCCCGCCCGCGAGGCCGGCGCTCTGGGCTCTGGACCCCCCCCCCCCGTGTGTGTGCGGCCCTGGCAGAGCGGCAGGTGGCCGGCTCTCTCTAAAGTGACTCAGAAGAAAGGAAGAAACGCCTGTGACTGCAAGTCCAGTCACCTCAGCAGACACTTTTGTCCCATCTCACGGTGTCTTCAAATGTGATTGCCGTATTCTTAATTTTTTTAGGCACCAGAAAGGGCGCAATAGTTTGATGACTCTTGCGCTGTGATGTTCGCTCTTGTACAAAGTTGCAGAAACCCTCAGAATTTCCTGATGACGGCAGGGTCTGTTTCAGTTCGTCCAGACAAGGGGTGCTACAGGGGTGATTCAGGAGGGGCCCCCACATATCAGCAGAGAGACCAGGTGGCTCGAGCCTTAAAAGAGTCAGGACCTCCATGTTCATGCACAACCTCCAGGAAAGGGGCGAGGAGGCTGCACAATTCCAGCACATGGAGGCCGAGGCAAGGAGACCCCTAATTTGAGACCAGCCTGGGCAATTAGTAAGACTGTCTCAAAATGAGATATGTTTTAAAAGGGGGAGATGGGGACACAGCTCAGCATGAAGATCTTGGGTTCAATCCCAATGGTCACCTGTGATTCTTGTGGCCAATGGTAACAGTATCCTTTCTGATAGAACAATAAACACGCACAGAGGTATTCTGTGTTGCTTGGAGTGTGTGAGTAGAAAGGAAAAAGAGTTTGTTTTTCCATCATCAACAGCAATAAAAAGAATTTTAAAAATAAAAGTCATAGCCCTAGCTGGGAGAAGTGGCATGCACTCATTATCCCTGCACTCTGGGAGGCTGAGGCAGGAGGATCACAAGTTAGAGACCAACCTAGTCAGCTTATCAACTTAACAAGACCTTATCTCAAAGTAAAAAGTAGAAAAGGGCTGCAGATGTAGCTCAGTGCAAAGGCCCTAGGTTCAACATTTAGTGCCGGGAAAAAAAATCATAGTCCTAAACATACCAAGAATTATAAATGTTACTGCATCATCATTCAAAATCCCTGTGAAGGAGAGACATTGGTAAAGGTGAATGAAACTCAATATAGGCTGGAAGCATAGCACTTCAAGAAAGCAATCTCGTGGAGCAGTATTTTTGCGTGCTTCTCTCATGTTATTCTTGTGATGGGATGATGAATTGGTTGCTCTTATGGGGATGCTAATTGAGAGACACCCGCTTCTCAGTTGCACCCCCTTGTGGGAGATAAATCTTAACAGTTGTTCTCTTCAGTAGCAAGTTCTACATATTGATTACATCTCAGTTCAGATCAATTATCCTGCCACCTTTGGCCTACACCGTGAATGCTTGTATAAAAACAGGTCAAAGCTGGGCCAGGGATTTAGCTCAGTGGTGCCGCTGCCTGCCTCCCAAGTGCAAGGTCCCGAGTTGATTCCCTGGTACCAAAAAACAGGTCAAAGCCAAAAGTCCTGCATTTACAAGACACTTTCAAGGACTCACTGTTAGGTGCAGGCAGTGGCCCATCAGTCTGGGAGGGTGCGGACCACAGGGCTTCCCCAGTTGGATTTGTATGCAGACAAAGTTCATCAGAAAAGTAGTAGCTGTCTCCATCTGTTTTCTGGTGCTACTGGGCTTGTTTGCCTTATGGTTCATGGAGCTGGGAGGTCCGAAGTTGGATGAATGCTTCCTTCTTGCTGACAGGGATCCTGCAGCATTCCAAGGTAGTACAGGGCATCACAGGGTGAAACCGAGGAGATGTGCTAACTTGCATCTCTTTTCCTCTTATAAAACCATTAACACCATCACAAGGCCTCACCTTCCTGACCTCACCTAACCCAATTAGCCCCCAAAAGCTCCGCCTCCAAATACCCTCAGCCAATGACTTTGGAAATTAAGCTTCCACATAACTGCAGTGGAACATTGAGACCACAGCAATAGTTTCTGCTCCTGCGTTGTAAGGATAATGTCTAAATATCTCAGAGGACCTGTTGTTTTTTGTTATTTTCTTCACATAAGTGCATAGGCATCCCTGCTATTTGTGGGCTCAGGGCACGAGTATGGAAGCCCATGTATATATGACTAAACACTCAAATATAATGTTTGATCTTTCACCCAGACGGACGTAGCTCTCTGATGATGGGAAAGGCCAGGTTCTCCTGTACAGTTCTGCACCTCCTGGGCCTTACAAGCCCCAGGCGACCTCACAGTGCACACTTGCCCCCTTTCCCCGTGGCGGGAAGGGTCTTAGGCTGGGCTTGCAGTCTATCAGAACTGTGTGCTGTGCGTCACCAGCCAGGGTCCTGCCTTAGAGAAGAAGCACCCAGGAAGAGGCCGGAGCAACCCTGTTGGTCAGCTTGTGGCCATTTGGTCAGGAAAAGACGGGGTCCCGTGGAACTCTGGAGCGTGGTCTAGAGAGGGGTGGGTTTGGGTAGGTGTGCACACCCGCGGCTACCCCCAGAGGGAGAGCCGAGCAAGGTCCCTCCTACGCGGCCCAGGGGCAGCCAAACTCAAACAAGTATCCCTCAAGCATCCAGCACGCCTTTGAAAAAGGAATCCCTGTCTTCTAACCTGGTCTAACTCTAGAAGTTGTCCGGTGCTTAAAACCTAGCAATAATTTTTTCATCCTTCTTTTCCCTTCACAATCTTCTAACCCTCACACTGCTATAAAGCCCCGAAAGCCACTTTCTCCTCCATAAAGAAAAAGAACACTCAGCTCCATTCCTCCCGCTTTCCTTCACCCCGTTCCTCTTTCCCTCCCTTCCCTCCCCCCTTTCTTTTTCCTCGCTTGCCTTTGTTCTCCTAGTTTCTGATTATACGAACCCACTTAGTTTTCCTTGAGAAAAATCCTTCCTCCTTCCAGCTCTGAGGAAGAGGATGTTAATTAGGGCCGAGGGCGGGGGAGGAGGTGTTAGGAGAAGGCCATTGGGCAGAGTATATTTCTAGTGTGGGAAGCTGGGTGGAGTAGAATGTTGATATAGAAAGGTCAGCTTTCTTGGCTGGAATCTAAAAAAAATATTTGAAACTGAGACTCAGGCAGTCTCAAAATGTTTTTTGTTGTTGTTATTTGTTTTTTTGTTTGTTTGTTTTTTGAGACAGGGTCTCACTATGTAGTTGAGACTGACCTGGAACTCACTTTGTAGCCCAGGCTGGTCTCGAATTCACAGCAATTCTGCCTCTGCCTCCCCCTGCTGGAATTACAGTCACGCACCACCACACCCAGCTCAAAAATGTATTTAAAAGTATTTTTTTCTTTGGGAAAAGAAAGTGTACACTGGAAATCTTATTTATAAAATTACAATTCAGAGCTGGGCATAGTGGCACGTGCCTATAATCCCAGCACTCAGGAGGCTGAGGCAGGAGGATTGCTGTGAGTTTGAGACCAGGCTGGGGCTACATAGTGAGTTCCAGGACAGTCTTGACTACATAGTGAGACCCTTCTCAAAAAAAAAAAAAAAAAAAAAAAAAAAAAAAAAAAAAAAAAAAAAAAAAAAAAAAAAAGATATAAAAAATAAAAAAAACAATAAAAAAAAAAAAAAAAAAAAAAAAAAAAAAGGAAACAAAAACAAAAACAAAAAAGAAAAAAATTACAATTAAGGGAAGTCATTTATAAATATGATAACTTTCAGGAAATATGTTTGCTTTTACTACTGTGTTTGATTTCTTGTCCGCTGTGCTTTTATATCTTCATTTTGTTTTTTAAATGACAAAAATCATTCTTAAAAGGCAAATGTATTTCTATCACTGCAGGACATTCAGGTTGGGGAACCCTAAGTCTATATTATAAACTTCAGTTTGTCATAAGTTCAAATGAGTAGTGGTTTTTCTTGTGAATTTTGAAAAATTTTCTCAATATAAAAATAACCACCATATCAATGGCATTGGCACTTAACTTACCTAAATATTAACATTTTAAATGGATATACCATTTTCCTTGAGATATATGCTTTCAATGCTTGGTACATTAACAAGTGAGCTTGCTGAATTTATTTCTCTACCCAGGGAACAACTCTGGAATTTTATTTTGAATGCTAATAAGCAGATTGATCAATAGGAGGATGATTGATAGATACAATTTTAAGGCTCTATTACCTCCACGAAGCAAGGTCTGCTTTGTCTTCTTTTAAAGTTTTAATCTGTGTTTTGAGAAAAAATTCATGCACCTTTTGTGGGTTTCTTATGAAACTGCTAGAGAGGAGACATCTGGCTCCTATGAAATAAAGCCAAAGGCAACATTTTTCAGTAAGTGTAAGGACAAAATACTTTAGGGTGGGCCCATCAAGATGGTGCTGTTGTTGTGGGTTGTTTGGCTATTTCTTTGGTAAGCAGTAATATAAATTTGCATCAGCTAATTTGGGCCTGTAATTTTGCAATAACTAGACCTTCAGACGTGAATGCTGCAGGACTCTCATGCGAATTGTCCTGACGCTTCTCCCTAACATTGGCCTCTACAGTTTCTGAATAGCTTCCCTACTAAAGGTGACACTCAGCGGGTAGCTGAGTTTTGAGGACTTTGGTCCCAGCCAAGTGGACCAGGGTCAGAGAAGTTCTTAAACATGGCCATATTATATCCAAGACTTGGCATCTGCATTGTTTGAAAAGTCGGATAAGTTCTGAAAGCCATCAACGAAGCTTAGAGCCCAGAATGTTAGAACTGCGCAGTAATTGTCCCCTGAATTTGGTACTAATCATATCCTTTCATATACTATATTTAATTCTAGGCTTTGTGTCTAAAAGAAGACAGAAAACTTGGAGAGAGTTTAAAGGAAAGCCATAAAAATGATTAAAGGTTTGGGAAACAAGCCCCATGAGGAAAGCTTAAAGAGGCTTTACTGATTCTGCCTGTGGTAGAAAACTTAAGGTCAAACTTGATGGTTTTCAATTTCAGATGGCTGCTGTCTTTGCCGCCATATAGAAACAATTTAAGTT